TTTTTTTTTTTTTATATGAGATATGAGTCGGTTTTTTTTTCCAAAAAATTACTTGTTTCTTACATATGTATATAGATACATATATACAAACATACATATCGTCATTGAAGTACAAAATCGCGTATCACCGTTCCGCGAAACCGCGTAACTGAAATTTTTTGCCAAAAATTGGATTTGCTCACACAAGCTCTTGGCTCAAGCCTTATCCATTCGTCCTCAAATATACTAGCCAGAAATTGCCTGCGATTGCTTTATCAAACGAAAACCATATTGAAATATGAGTGGTTTTACTCTCTATATGTATTTTGTTGATACGCGGTTTTGTACTTTAAAGGACGATATGTATATGTAGTACACGCATATCTTTGATTTGAATTTTCACCCTTATTCTAGAACCCGAATTTTCGTAACCCGTAGCGTCGTTACGAAAAACGAAAAATCGGCATGCTACAACCCTTGCGAAAACGCGTATAGCATTGCCAGCTATCAGTTGTTTTGCGAAGTCAGCTGTATGAAGGAAAACAAAGTGGATAGGAATTAAAAAAACACTCATCAAGTGATTATTTATTTATAGTAAAATTTTACATATTTTGCCGAAAATGGATTATATTGCATTTGCAATTATAGCAGCAAAGTAAGAGCGCGCTATGGAAATGAATTGACAAAGCTATGCAGAGCTGTATGTCTATGTCTATGTCTAAGTCTATGTATGTCAGCTTCTGGTTGAATTGTTGAACCACAAGCGATAACTCCTCTTATGTTGGAAGAACTGGTTCTCAATTCAATTAATGCAATCACAGCTTCTTCTAAGCCATTGAAAGAATGCATTTTGTTAGGTTCACCACCCGTTGGGCTTCCCGCTTTCGGCCGCGCTTAGGGATTATAGCCCTTACTAAGAAGAATTCTCCTTTCTCTGTTGGGGGAGTAGAGGGGCGGAAGCCATTTCTTGTGCATATAACTCCGGCTTCGCCATCCACAGTATTTTTGGACAGAATCCACACCGAAATTTACAAAATAGTGCTAAGTAAAACCAGTTTTTATTAATAAGCTAGTGTTCGGAAATTGAAAACCTTTATCTTAAATTGAAAGTTTAATGCTTTGGGAGCATGTGTAGATAGATACGACAATAAAATGAAATTTTTGCCGCGACCAGGTGGTCTATTGCGCCCTCCACTCTTCACAATACATCCTCTAAACCTAAATCCCTGAGAACGTTCAATAGTACCTTTGGGGATGGGGAGTGAATGTGCTTAAGCTGTGGCCACGTTGAGCCTAAACTTCTCTCACGTCTTCTGCACACTGCATCACACTCGGTGAGGATGTGTAGAGAGGTGTCCCGCTGGTAGAGTCGCAAAACCAGCAAAGGTCCTCGACCATATCCCCAGCCTGTATAGATGCCCTCTCAGAATGCAGGGTCCTGTGAGGATACCTGTTATTATTCTAAGCTGCTCCTTTGCGGGGCCAATTAAACTTTGGAATCTCCTTTTGTTATAACCTCCCAGCAAACTCTTTGCGTGACGCATTCCTGACGAACTTTGCCAGTTTAGATCACTCATAGTGCTCCACTCCCACCTAAACTCCTCTTTTAGAGTGTTGGGACCCACTCCCAGGAAGGGCTCGGGGCCAGCTGGAGTAATAGCTGCCGTCTCTTGGGAAACAATCAGCCGCCTCGTTACCCACCCACTCCTTTGTGGCCAGGTACCCACGCTAACTTGATTTTATTGTGTCTACCAAGGGTGTTAAGCTTCTCAATGCACTTAAGGACCAGCGACGACTTAACTTTATAGGATATGATGGCCTTGAGTGCCGCCTGGCTATCACTTAGGATTATGATTCTCTCGTTTCTATACCCTCTACTCATGATTGTATCCGCACACAGGTAGATGGCGTAAACTTTTGCTTGAAAGATACGCGGATATTTCCCCATAGGAACAGAGATCCTGGCCATGGGTCCGACGCTTCCAGCACCTATTGCAGACCACACGTGTAAGTTGAAGTTTTTAAATTCGGGACACAACAACCAAAAATCATTGTACAAATAACTAAACCTTTCCCAAGTTTCTCGATAAGGGGTAACAAATATTATTTTTTCTTCGTTCATATTAGAGATGGGCAAAACACGTGATTCTCTACGTGACACGTCGTGTCACGCGTAACCGTGAGCGGATTTGAGAAAAATCAAGTAACTTCCGCGTGCGTAGGTTAGATTTTCCGTCAATCACGTAATTTTCACATATCGAGCCCTAGCCGCCAAAAAGATGTAAGCGAGATTTTTTTGAAATTTTTTTTTTTTTGATAAATAAAAAGTTCCTAGAGCATCTAGATGCATTTCTGCATCAAAATTAAAATTTTGAATAATGTCGGTTACATCTTTTAGGAGATTAGGGCTCGATATGTATGAAAGTATGTGTATTTTCAAACAAAATAAAATCGTAAACTATGTACTACTTACTATTTAAAGGGTGAACACACCAAAACTGCGCCACTTTGGGAAGCTTATAACTTACCCAAAAAGATTTCAATATTTTGAAATTCAAATACCATAAGCTGACCATGACCTTAGTTGGACGTAGAAGAAATTTCATTTGAATTTGATTCCTAGTTGAGTTAAAAATGGCAACCGAGTTAGAAACGAGACAAACCATTTTGCACGAGTTTATAAATGATCCGGCCTTAAGTACACGTAAAATTGCTAAAAAATAAAGATTGCACTATTCGACAGTTTGCAGGGTTTTAATCGGTACAAATAAGGCCTGGCAGTTACGAGAAAACCAGGGAGCGGGGGTTAGCATGGTCAAAGTGATAAAAACAGTGCTCGGAAGGTCCTCAGTGCGTTTTCGCGAGATCCGAAGATTTTGTCGCGTTATGTTGCAAAATCCGTACGGAGATCGCAGTTTTTCGTACAAAAGGTAAAGCGGAAAGCTTCATTGAGATGTTCTACAGCTCAAACAGCGCCAGACCGAGGCGCAAAGTAGAATGTTACAGCGAAATCCCGCATTCGGAAGTTGTATGAATTCTAAATTAAAAAATACAACTGCATTGTTAAGGACTACGAAGCCTACTGCTTTAAAAATTCAAAATATATTGCAGGTCAAGATTTTTATACTGCTGCAAGTCGTCAAGATGCCCCTGAAAGTTGTAAGCTGAAAATTAAGTCCAAATTTCCAAAAAAAAACAACATGGTTTGGCAAGCTATTTGTTCCTGTCGGCGTAAGAGCAGCCCTTTTTCCCATCCGGGACAATGAATGATCAAGTTTATCGGGATGAGTGCCTCAAAAGGCGTCTTCTGTCATTTATCAACAGATAAGGAGTAGGCCACTGTTCTAGGCGGACATGGCAAGCTCCCACTATGCCAAGGACACATTGCCGTGGTATAATGCAAATAACATCAATTTTGTACCTCACGACTGCAATCCACCCAATAGCCCAGAGCCACGTCCTATTGGGGAATATTGGTCAATTGNTTCTAGGCGGACATGGCAAGCTCCCACTATGCCAAGGACACATTGCCGTGGTATAATGCAAATAACATCAATTTTGTACCTCACGACTGCAATCCACCCAATAGCCCAGAGCTACGTCCTATTGGGGAATATTGGTCAATTGTCAAAGGAATGTTAAAGAAAACAGGTGAAACAGTGAAAAATATTGAAGAGTGCAAAACAAAGTAGTTGTGCGCATCGCGTAAAGTCGATGATGCAGTAGTGCAGAGCATGATGGCGCGTGTGCGATGAAAATACCGATCACTTGCATATGGAGCAATTAATAACTAATATTTTAACATTTTAATAACATCTAAACCTCCAAGTTATATAATACAAAAAAAAATATTAATTTCAAAGCCTTCTAGTTTGTTTCTGGTAGTAATTTCTAAGTGTCGCAGTTTTGGTGTGTTCACCCTTTAACTTATTTACTGTATATACATATGACGAATTCAAAGGTACAATGGATGAATCTGCAGAAACTAGGGCTGTGCGATAATTCCATTACTCGAGCAAGTTGGTTAATCAATTACTCGAGTAATCAAGATTTCGATTACTCAAAACGATGATTAATCGAGTTACTTGAAATATGGTTACTCAAAAAAAATAATTTTGCTCGTTAAAAGAGTTTGCTTATGCAAATGCTTATTTTCCTTTTTACATTGGCTGCATTTCTTTATTCATTCTGAACGTTTGGAATAAACTTTTTTGTTTATTTATTCTTTAGAACGTTCCTGATGATATGTTGACGTATATTTCAAACGCATTCTGTTTATTCCGGCTGTGAAATGGGATTATCCGGAATGTATAAAGAAACGCAGCCATTCTGTATATGAAAAAAAATTTTCATTTTAATTTTTGAAAACAGAAACGTTGTTTTCAAAGTATCAAGGAACTTCAACTATTTTAGACATATGTAAAGAATTGAAATGTTGATTACTCATTTCACTCGAAATGTTGATTCATCATAAAGCAACTTACTCAAATATTTTTTTTTTTTTNATGAAAAAAAATTTTCATTTTAATTTTTGAAAACAGAAACGTTGTTTTCAAAGTATCAAGGAACTTCAACTATTTTAGACATATGTAAAGAATTGAAATGTTGATTACTCATTTCACTCGAAATGTTGATTCATCATAAAGCAACTTACTCAAATATTTTTTTTTTTTTGGTTAATCAAAGATCTTGATTACTCGAGTAACTTTTGAATAATCATAATTTCCAATTAATCGAATAATTGAGTTATTTACTTTATGATTAATTAAAATATTGAGTAATCAATTAATCGCGCAGCCCTAGCAGAAACAGTTTTTGGAGACATCAACGCGGAAATACAGATTTTTTCGAAAAAACCCGAAAACAAGAGTTGTGACGATGTTTCGAAATTTTGGGACAAAGCTAAAAATATTCTTTTTCTTGGAAGCCTTTCAAGACAAATTTTAAACATACCAGCTAAGCTAGCTCAGCAACTATTGCAAGAGTTTTTTCTGTGTCGGGCAGAATTCTAGAAGAAAGGCGTACACAAGGCGAATTTAATAAGGTAGTGTTAGCCGTATATGAGTAAAAAACTATACTACGTAACATTACGCAATTGTACGCACAATGACAGTATGAATTACAACAAACATCATTTTGACGTTATGGTCTCCACGGCGAAAAATTGAGCTGTCGCACAGTGCCGCGACTCCATACAAATGATGGACAAAAATAGAAGGAGTGGTCAGAATTGGCTGAAACTTCACACCTAGAAGTATTATGCCCCTCTAATTTCAAAAATGAAATCGGTTTTTCTGTACCGGTTACTCATTTCGAGAAAACCGAGTTTTTCTTGCATTTTTATATGAAAATAGTCATTGTGGACATGTGTTGATATAAGTGGAAGGAGGCATCAGAATGGGCTGAAACTTTACACCTGAAAGGACTATATCACCGCAATTTAGGAAAAAAAAAACGTTTTTCAGCATCTGTTACCATTTAATTAAAAAATTTTTTTTTTTACAATTTTATAAAAAGGTAAAATAACTCATAATCATCGTAGACATATGTTTATAAAAACCGAAATAGTATTCAGAACTTGTTGAAACTTTACACCTAAAAGGACTAAGCCATGCTTATTTCAAAAATGAAATCGATTTTTCGGTACCGGGTACCCATTAAAAAAAAAAGATTTTTTTTTACATTACTATATGAAAGACAAATGAGGCATAATCATTGCTGATTGTGGTGTTTACGAAAACCGGAAGGAGTCGTCAGAATTTATTGAAACTTTACATCTGAAGTGTCTATATTACTCTAATTTTAAGAAAGTAATCGGTTTTTTTGTAACGGGTACCCATTAAAAAAACACCGAGTTTTTGCACATGATTATTTAAAAATGAAATATGGCATATCATTGTTGCTAAGTGTTCAGAAAAATAGTCTTAATAGTCAAAATTCGTCTAAACTTTACTTCCTAAGTGAATACATTATGGTAATTTGAAAAATTAAGTCGGTTTTCCTTACATGTTAACCTTTAGAAAAAAAAATTCTTTTGATTTCATTTAAAATAAAGCATAATCACTGTTAAGTAAGTAAGTAATAATAGCTGTTATATGGTAATAACATATAATATGTTAATAAAAACCGAACTAGTTGTTATAATCACTCAGTTTCAGAGTCCTCAGAAGAGGAGGAAGTGATCACTGATTCAAATGATTCCATGCTTTTGTCTGCTTCGTCACTTTCAACAATGTATTTATTAAAGCTGAGATCAGAACCCTTTAAATATTTGTTTCTCTGTTTTATATTTCTTTTAAATGCAACTAATGGATCTGACGATAATATCAAACGAGTCATTAAATCCGTATTGCTTTGTACTCTTCCAGTTTTTCGAGAATGATTAAGCCGATATTTTCTTATGTTTTTGTGTGAACATTCTAAGGCTTCTTCTGATAATGAACCTGATAAAATAGGTGGAAATACAGATTAAGAAAATAAATGAAAACATAGCTTTAAAATCATTACCTATTGGTAAATCAAAGTATTTAATTACATCACATCCATGTACTAAAACTTTATGCACTGAACTTGGCATGTTATACCAACCATAATTTCTAAGGTATAACTCTCTTGTTTCGTTCAACAAAACACTAAACTCTTGGGTTTTTATTTGTTTTCCACAAGAGAGGACTCTTAGCACCAGAGAAAAATTCATGAAATTTTAAACTCGCGTTGAGCTACATTTTCCACTAATAGTAAAACGTTGAAATTTTTGCACAGGTAATGTAATTAGTTAGGTGAACAAAATTATAAAAAGACTCAATCAAAAAAAAAAATATATAAAAAAATTGGACCTCCCTGATATGCATACATTTGTACTATCATTTTCGCAAGCTGTTTTTGTTTGCTGCTTAAGCAAAATAGTACTCTTTATGCAGATGAAGAGTAATAGGTATGTTATTTATTTTTATTTTCTTTTTGTTCGCCTTTCGTCTAATCATTGGGCGCTGTAAGGTGTCTCGATTGCATTTATTTCCTTACCCGAATTGGTTAACATATTATTTGTAAACTGGTGTCATTGCTCTATATATATATATATATATGTATATATATATATATGTAAATCTTCGTATACCTTTGTTTTTGGCTCCCATACCGTGATGCATATTTAAGTATTTTAATTAGCTGATAATTTTTTTCATTTCAAAGCACCCTGTACCTCTTAATTTTTTTTTTTGGCACTTTTAGCTTTAATTCAACACCTTATTTTTGAAAAGCGAACCAAAAATTTAGATCTTAGGGCATTCAGAAAAAGTATTGTAAATATAGATCAGCTAAAATAATACCAAAAAAAGGCATTTAGTCACTTTTTCAAAATTGAAAATTTTCAAATATTGGAAAAAGTTGGAAGAGATTTCGATTGTTTCTGTTAGTAGAAGGTCCAAACTACCATAACCAAAAAAAAAATTTCACGAACTTTCAAGATGTTTTTTTTTTTTTGTCTCCAAAGTTTACCAATTTTCGGATTTTGGTATGTTTAATCATATACTTATTTATTAATAAAAAAAAAATATTTGTATAAATTTTTTTCCATGAACCATGCATTTCTTGGTTTGTCGCATATATCTTTATCAAAGTGCAAAAGTTGATCTTGCTAGGAATAAAAATGTATTTTTAACAAATTTTTAACTGCGACCACTTTTATGTGCGAATCGCCGAAATGAAATGGTATGTAGAAAATAGGTGTACTTTGAGGGGGTGTGTGAGGCTGAAAGTTGTTTTTATCACAAAATAACTTATGAACTTCTCTTAGTTGGAGATTCAGCTGTAACTTGACATCAAGACATCTAAGTTTCAAGACAGTCGATTTTTGTATTTTTGTCCACCTTCGCGGCACTGTGTGTCGCCCAAACACCACATTATTAAATTCGCCTTGGACGTACATGATTGTTCGACAAAATATCATATTTAAACAAAAATATGAGCTAATTGTCATTTCAAAATTACATTGAATGAATATTGATGCGAATTCTTTTCTATGAAATTTGTAAAAACATTAATAGTGCGTTCCATGGTGCAATAAACAGGTGAAGTAATAAAACAGCATTCTCTGTTCATTTTTTGACATTCGGCTGCCTAATATTTCACAATGTTGCCTTTATTCGTTGAACGTTTTATGTGTTGCTGCTTTGGATGTATTTACATATGTTTTGGGGGCAATTTGGCCATTTATTATATGCTTGCAACATTTTCCGTTTGAATTTTTGTGGAAAATTTGTGTTTTCTTAAAATTTCTGTTTGAATTTTTGTGGAAAAATACTACATAATTTATTGTAATTAAAAAATTAATAATGCCTAGCCAAGCTGTGTAATTTGCAGAAAAACGTGGACTTACGAAGGCGTCCGTTTGTTCCATTGACCAGCGGAACAGGTTAGGCTGAAAAGTTGGATATTTCAAATACTTAATGGCGAAGTAATTTCTTGCACCACCAACTTCTCAGAAATATTATTATTCCACAGCCATGAAATAGACCTTCCAATAAATGTGAAAAAGAGCTATTTTTAAAGTGCAGGATGCATTTCCGTATAAATAATTATAATAAGCGGTTGAAAGGCTAAAGGTATAATCGATTAATCTTTATAAACCTCCCATATATACCTATTTAAATTTATTTATTTAAACCTTATAACCATTAATATCACGCGTTGCGTTTTTGTATTCACGATGCTGATTTCATGAGTCTAACTTCATCTCTTCATAAAATTATCAAGATTTGTCTATGCATTCGTCGGTGAGTCATTGGAAGTATTCTTTGTGCAAAATCTTGTTTACTAATTTCACCATTTTGAAAAGTGTTTTTGCCTCAAGACATCGAGTTGTACGTCATTATCTGTCACTTTTGATTGGTTACTGCATTGGCTACTTTTATTAAGATTTTTGTATGCATTTGTCGGTGAGTCCGTGAAGTATTATTTGTGAAAAATCGTTTTTTTACTAATTTCCCCATTTTAACATATATTTTTTGCATAAAAACATCACTTTGTGTGGCATTAACATGGTGTTTCAAATTGAGAAATACATTTTTCTCAAACGTTTGAAACTGTGTTTGCTGGGAGACCTGTTTAAATTCTTATTGAGGGCCTGTGCCAATTGATAGAAAAGTGCTCGGATTAGTAAAAGTATGGCTTCCAGTTCTATAAGAATTAAAGTCAGCAAAGACATTTTTTTATGTAATTGCTGCATTTTAATTGCTTAATCTCTTTTGCACTAGAGCAACTGTCAAAAATTTCCAGCAGTAAAAAGTTACGAATTGGCACAGCAGAAATGTAAAATTTTCTTACCATAAGTAGTAAAAAGTTTTTTCACCATAGCACTTTTCTACTCATTGCCACAGGCCCAGAGTAATGCAATGTTTTAAATGAAAAATAATAACTTCATCACTTCCTTTAAATTTTGAAGCTTGTTTTTTTAATTTTTAGAGCATTATAATAACATCTTTTGTTAATTTATTATGGCTTAGTACCAAATGTAAACATTTACTTACCAAACCATTATTTGATTCGGGGATAGAAACAAGGCCGAAAGATACATACTTAAGTATTTATATATATTTCTATTTATTTTTCTTCTGTTTACGCAAAAAACAATGCAGGTAGTAATTTTCATTGTATTTATTCAAGAATCTACATTTTAAGCTTTTGTTTTATAATTCCACGAATTTAGTTGAGTTGTGTCTGAGACAACTCAACTTGTATACAACTCAACTATTTATTGATATTGCCATGATAAAAATATTACAAGGTAAATCCATTCTCTCAATTCGTCGGCCATGATTTTTTTCTGACGTTTGCAAGCATTTTAAAATCATNGTGGACAAATGACGCTTACGACAAAATTTTACTAAAGAAAATCCTTCATAAACTCAAAACTAATAACAATACACATTAAAAATGGAATAATTTACGAATTTTGTGAACTAGTAACATTTTCAGAGACTTTGGATAAAATATATCTTCGCATTTTCATTTATCTATCGCGATTTCCCACAACCTGCCGAAATTAACATACGACAATCTTTTACCCTGGCGACGATGTGTATATCTTGGCAACCGCTGCACCGATTTCTTCCAAACTTGGTACAGCATATCAAACGGCCGAAAATTTTTAAAATTGGACAATAACCACGCCCACATTCTCTATATAAGGGTAATTTAGAGAAATACGAAATCTTCGATAAATCAGTAAATATTAAAGCTAATTTATTCAAAATTGACGCTTGCAACAATTCTTTACCAAGAAATACGTTTATGATAAAATTTTGGAAAATGGGCGTGGCACCGCCCACTTATGATCACATATATGTATGTCGGTAACCGTTCTACCAATTTGTACCAAACTCGGTATGGTTATTGTGCTTGCCACATAAAAGCAAAATGTTCAAAATTATTGAAATCGTACTAAAAGTACGGCTTTTCATATAACGGTAAATTTTAAAAATGGTCTAAACTTCAATATTTCGAAATTTAAGGACGCTAATTTACTCAAAATTGATACACCCCGGCTTACCATGTTCGGTACCGTCCGAACTTAGACTTTTTTTCTAAAACTTTTACCGAAAAATACTAAATAATTTATTTGTGATTAAAAAATTAATAATGCCTAAGCTAAGCTGTGTAATTTGCAGAAAAACGTGGACTTACGAAGGCGTCCGTTTGTTCCATTCACCAGCGGAGCAGGTTAGGCTGAATAAGTTGGATATTTCAAATATTTAAAGGCGAAGTAATTTCTGGCACCACCAAATTCTCCAAAAAATTATTATCCCACAGCCATGAAATAGACCTTTCAATAAATGTGAAAAAGCTCTATTTTAAGTGCAGGATGCATTTCCGTATAAATTATTTAAATAAGCGCTTGAAAGGCAAAAGGTATAGTCGATTAACCTTTATAAACCTCCCATATATAATAATAATAATAATAGAATGGCGCTTACACATAGGTTAGTGTTTGGCCGAGTTTCTCCTCCGATTTGTGGCGTGCGCTTGATGTTGTCACACAAAGTGAAGGGACCTACAGTTTTACGCCGACTGCCATTGCCTGCGAGGGACGACCGCTGTTGAGAAAAATATTTTTTGTTTCTATTTTTTTACGATGTTGCTTTGACTAGGGCTTGAACCCAGGCATTGCGGAGTGGAAGCGCGCACTGCTTACCACTACACCAAACCCCCCATATATACCTATTTAAATTTAATTATTTAAACCTTATAACCATTAATATCACGTGTTGCTTTCATGTTGCTGATTTCATGTATCTAATTTCATCTCTTCATAAAATTATCATTATTTGTCTATGCATCCGTCGGTGAGTTCTTGAAGTATTATTTGTGAAAAATCTTTTTTACTAATTTCCCCATTTTACCATATTTTTCTGCCTAAAAATATCAGTTTGTGCGGCATTAACATGATGTTTTGAAACCGTAGTTGGACCTTTCATCTAGAATGATTAGACACTTCTCAATCTGGGTGGTCTTCAGTTTCTACGTTCTTTGCTTCTCTTTGTGTGAACTATTCCGTGGATTTAGTACATCACACTACTCTTATTAGCATCAAAATCTTAATTTATGTTTCTAATTATTATTTATTACATTGGCTGTAAATCCTTAAAGCTCTTTGTTATTGTTAGTGTTTGTCTTTCAATACTAAATACAAGCGTAATCCACAAAATTGTTTAGCTTCTACATATCTAATTTGAATAAAAAATAATAAATTATGCTTAGTTAATTTAAATGGCTCTTTTATTTCTCAAATAGGGTTATTTCAGAAATAATT